CTGCATAAAACATTATATGCCTATTCTTTTTATTATCTACAAAAATTTAATATGTTATAATTATTATGTTCATGTAAATTTAAATATAATTTTTCGACAACGCATATAAAAATTTCCATCTTAGGACTTGATACGTGATATACGTGGCAATTATTAAATGGTTTGTTCGTGTTAGCTTAACTTTTGCGATATTTTGCTTATGTAATTATCAAATAATTATAGAAAATAAAAATCTAATGAAAATCAAGACTAAATTTTTGTATTTGCGGTAACTTCCGCTAAGGATGCGATAATGCTGGAAAATTACACATAGATTACGATTTTTTTACACAAGTCAAGAGTCTTGCGCGGGATTGTAATAAATCGTGTAAAGCAGGCAATAAATCTTACCATAATTACGAAGATTGCTTCTGTAGACATGAAATATAATAGAATTATAAAAGAAGGACGGAATGGTGTGTTTCGTGTATCGCAACATCAGTTGAAGAAATATAATAACATTAACCCAAGGTGTATACACATTGCGAGGTCTCCAAAACCCTAGAGAAAGTTTGAAACTGTACCACTGGCAGAATAAATAAATAGGGAGGATCGTTTTGTAAAAGAAGTTTCAAGTATTTTCATTACGTATAGTGACTGCCGAATTAATCAATTGTTTGTTGGTTTGGCAACAATTAACACTTAAAATAAGATATAGGGGTCTTTCAAACCCCAGTTGATATTTAGTGCAACTTTCTTTTATAAGTAATTTCAAGACGATGGATAATAATATATTATTATATTATATATTATTATATTTTAAATTTCAGCTCTTCTCGGGTGATCGCTACGACGCATGAATCTCTGCAAATAAAGCGCTTCTGTGCGCAGATAACAAATTTGAACGCCGCGGAGATAAAATCTTATCTCGCTGCACAGTTCTAATTGTGACTCATCCGCGTATAACCATGTTGCCACTGCTCCGCTTATCAATGTTATAATCCTGGTCAATCCTTATTACACGCAGCGATTTTATAATATTCGCGTCTAATTTACGTTAATAACAATTGCCGCATTAATTATACGAAAGAGAAGATCAAGAGCGATGAGAACCAATCGTGATTGTATTACTAATGAGTAATTATGACTCACTTGCACGTGTACGTGAATATACGTTCCGATCGAACGTTAAAGTATATAAATTATCCAGTTAAAAAGATACGCGGGAGAAGATAAGGCAAATAAATTATACTTCTCGTCAGCCATAAACGAATTGATCGCGAAGCACTAATAAGCGACTCTTTCGCGAGAAGTTCTCTATGACGTCAGATCTTTCTCTTACATTTGAGATATAGCGAGCATTTGTAGTTAATCATATATATAATGAGAAATCAATTTACCATCTAATACCTGTAAATCTAGTTTTATGTGTTAAATTCTTTAACAACGCGATAATGAGAAACGTGCTGTACGCACTCGTTGTTCCGATCGCTAATTGAAGCTAATTGAGTTTCTTCCTAGAAAACGTCTGGAACGCGTATGTCTGAAGAACAGACGTTACAAGAAGCTGAAAACGGAAGATAATCGTCCGGTAACTTTTCGAAAATGCGATTTTAACGCGACTTGGAAAATACTTCGGCAACATTTCTAATTCCATAAAACCCGTGTCAGACCGCGGATTGGGATTGAGATTGGATTAAAATTTAATTAATTAGAATAGAGAAAACTGATCTCAAGTTTAGTGAACTTTGCATTGATTGGTCAGGTTTCAGTACAATCTCGATTCGTAGTCTGTTACGGGCTTTAGAGCTCATCGGAATGTGTGTTTCCCTTGTTACAACCGCAAGCAATTCTATATTTCTATATCTTGATCTCCTTCTCTCTCTCTCTCTCTCTCGCCTTCTGATCCGGCGTCGCTTTCGTAACGCAACACGCATCACGCATCGCGCGCGCGCGTATTACGCAGAAGTCCCTCATTGTGTCTTTAATCTCTTTCTCTCTCTTTCTCTGTCTCTCTCTCTCTCTCTCTTTCTCTCGTTTTCTCTCCCACCAGATTTGATGATTCCAGCTCCCCGCATACTTGGACTTTCCGTCGAATCGGCTTCGGGTATCATCAGCTGCGCGTGATACATGTCGCCGGGCAGTCGGGAACTTCGGTCGACCGTCATCGTTCTCATCCGCGGGCTTTCATGTTCAGTGCGGCTACTGCGGCTGTTTTGTACTCGCGATCGCGTGTCAGATGGTATTTTCAACCGCGAGTTCTTGCGGTCTTCTCACGGGTGTATAGCGTATACACTCAAAAGTGGGGAACGCGCGTCTCATCTCTTGCGTTCGCCTGATGCCCACGGAGCGCCGCGAATAAACAAGAGGACGAGCCGCGAAGAGGAGGCATCGTGTCTCGGTGTGAAGACTACTGAAGACACGCGATGAGAGAGCTGAGAGATCGGAGGTCGAGTCTTCGGGTCGTATTGACGTTTTCCTCGGGATCGGAGTAGCGGAAGAAGCAAGCCCACCCCTTTCGCGAATCAAGGGGTTTACATTTGAGAATTTTTGAAGCGACGGAATCGATCGAAGAATATATTTCGAAGCTTACAATTAGACCAACGTGACTGATGTTTAATGACGGTAAATAGCTTCAGCGGATTACGCGTGAGATTCAGTGATGCGAGCGGTCTGGCCGGTTCTACAAAAAAGGCATTCTTCGCGTCGGCAAAAAGTTTTCAAGGTCGGAGAGCGAAAGTGCGCGCTTCCACGGTTCCACCGACCACATTTCGGCATTTTCGGCACGACGCGCGCTCCAAACGACGCGAGAGATCGCATTGTCGATCCTAATCGTCTCTAAAGCGAAAATTATACGCGGTGAAAAATCCGTACTTTTTTGCTGCTTTTGCATAACAATAAACTTCTGGATAATTAGTTCGGCTTTTGTACAATGAAGAAAAATACATCCTTTTGAAATCGTTTGAGAAACGTATTTATCTTGCCTATGATAACTATCGTGTGGATGTATTATATATCTACAGATATATAAACGTTATTGTTATTTCGAACGTCCTTCCTAAATATACTTCATTAACGCGCTACAAAAGGTTTCTCAATTCTGAAAATAAAGCGACTTCTCGTTAAATATTAAGCGTTAAGGTTTTACTGTATTTAATTATTTACTGTAAATTACACGTGACGTTTAGAATACAGGCAGCTATAAGATCACGCGTGTTGATTCAGCAAAATCTCGACGATAGCTACTGTATCGTAGCGCGATTTCCGTGCCGGTTGTTCTTCGTGCGATAACAGTGCGATAACCGCGTTAAACAAATCATGCGAGTGCGATGACGGAAAATCTCTTTTCGGGAAATTCAGTTAAAATAAGGAAGGTTCTATTCTTCTATTCTGAGGGATCGCTAAGTGGAGCGAAAATCAATCATGGATCTTCGTTGGCTCGTTTTCTCTCTCGTCATAGCTCTCGTAGAAGTCGTAGATAGCTACGAATACGTCAGTGCTGCTAACAAGTGTAAGTAAGACGAGAATTGTGATAACGCTATGAAATTATTCTATTACCGCAACGAGCTCTTTAAGATATGCAGAGCGAATAATATAATTTTTCGAGATATACCGTTCAAGTAAAAAATGATCCGTTGACAATAAGTGAATATTGAAATTATATGATAAAAAAGTTTGTGTCGTCGGAGAAAAAGATGGTCCTCTGTTTCTCGGTTAAACCGCAAACTGTATAATTAATTGCAACACGCAAGTCGGGAAATTGTAAGATATATGATGTATACGTGAGTGCTTGCGTAAGTGCACGTGTGTATTTTGCGGTTATAACCATTTTTGCACGCTTCTTGTCGAATCTTTTCCCCCAAAAACGGTTCATAGAATTGCAAATAGTTCTTCTATATCAATAAAATTATAATTTTAGCCAATATCGTTATAATTAAAAACACAGTAATAAATTGTACAGAATACATTAATAAATTGTTATTTTTCGTGAAGTTTGACTGATTTATATTTTCGATCGTGTGAGACAGATAAATAATACGTAATTAATATAGAGGATGGCCATTGTTTAAACATTCTAATATGCCCTTCCACGTATCTCGGCATATGCAGAATGTTTAAACAATAGCCATAGATACGCGGTATACTTGAATTTCAATAATGTCCGGGGCTACTTTTCGTTCCCCTAAAATACGTATACTTAAAAATATCAGTGAAATACTTCTCATTCATATTAGAAAACCGTTCCACGAAAACCATGTGCCAAAAATGAAAATTGTGATGTTTTAGGGACGCTGTGCTTGGTCGACAGTGTACATACTGCGCAAAAAATTCTTTCACTCTGCCCGAAACTCGCGACGAGTCCGGTAGAATGTGTCATAGAAACTGATAGGCAAGTATGACGCAAACATAATAGAATTTTTCTAACGATGAACGTTTCTTTCAATTTAATGCTTATAAGTTTAGTTTTTTTTTCCTCGAAAAAGTCACATCATCTCTGTCCTTTTTTTTCTAGAGAACAATCGTTTTTCAAATAAGTTAAAAAATTATACTTTATAACAGTATACATAATAATAATGTGTTATATAAGTAACAACATGAGTTATTTAAAAACCAGTTCTTTGTTTTTGATGGATTCGATGGAGATATGCCTTTTTCAGGGAGACCGATTCGGTCGCGGAACTTGCCAATCGATCAATTTTCCCGAATGCAAATATATTGAAGAATATATTTCTTATAAGAAAGTAATTCTCTCTGTGGTTTATAGATTTGGCTGTTTACGTCGAGTAACCAGTGGTGATGTCGATATCACTGTGCTGGAGCCAGAAGAACTCGTAGCGATAAGAAACTACAAACTATACAATGTACTAGTCACGAATGAATTAAGACTCTTCCCAGACGGTAATTTTAAAGTAAAACATTGAGCGAGGAACACGTAAAATGTCTCACCTTTGCCAAATTAAATTTCGATTAATTTCTGAACAAATTTGAATTATAATTAATTAATTAATCAAGGAATATATATTCTCTGGAATTCGAATCATAATAATTAATTGATTAAGGAATATATATCCTTCTCTGCTCACTTGGAAATTAATTATTACGCAATTACTACTCGAAACGAATAATTATTATGCAAATTAATACTAATTTCGAATTTTTTTTAGTATAAATTAATCGATTTGATGCTAAAAAGTCTATTAAAGTTATATGTATATTTCAAATGAGACGTTTTTTTTCCAGATGATTATCGTTTTGAATTAGTGGCCATAGCGCACAAAAATGTGCAACGCATATGGGATGTTAAAGGCAAGCGATTGTGTCATCCCGGATTAGACACCATCGACGATTGGACTACAATTTTCTCGACGGTTGGTGAGCTTTTTTTTGTATCAGTGTGCTCGTTAGAATCATGCTTATCCCTCGATCTCTCGTATTTCAGTACTTCGAGAATCTGATAATTAGAAAAGAGTGCAACGCGAACATGACGCTGTTCGAGGACAGAATACACGCTCTGTCCAACTTCTTCGAAACGGCTTGCATCGCTGGCCCGTGGTCGGCAGACACAGTATTTGATTATCAATTGAGTATGTATTTAATTGCAAGCATATGCGAGTGTTAACATTGCATCGTAGATGCGTATATATATATTGGATACGTGTATATTCATGATTTATTTATAATCGCGATTTATATCGGCATGTCTAATGCATGAAACTCTACATTTCTTCATACAGCGTCGAATAAGCGCCGTCGTGCTGGAAATCAGAAATTTTTATTGTCGTTTGCAGAATCGAAGTATAGGAATCTCTGCGCCGCTTGCGAGAAACCGGCCAGTTGTTACAACACCGATAAGTACTACGGACGGGAAGGTGCCCTGTTGTGTCTCACCGATGGCATGGGCGACGTCGCCTGGGTCAGATTAGGCGACGCCCGCATACACTTCAAGGTAATTGACAAGTCAACCCTACGGTCAATTTCGTCACGATATCTTTAAGGCAATTCGAACGAAGAACTCAGGAAGAACCATTCTCGTTCTAAATGTCCACTTCTATCGATCTGCGGATTAACTTTAATCTCACAATCAGTTCAACTTATTTTTTATCTTTTCCTAATTCTTAAAACTAGAAAAGGTAGAAAAAGGAAGTTGAACCGAAAAAAAAATTAATAGCACATTGGTAGAAATGGACATAAATCGATTTAAAAGACTATAATCAAAACGGATTGCGACGCGACTCGCGGTACTAACGTCTAAACGATGTTGATGCAGGCTCAGATGATCGACACACAAGATTACAAGTTTCTATGCCCGGACGGCACCACGAGATCGCTCGACGACAAACCCTGCGTGTGGATATCGAAACCGTGGCCGGTCGTCGTAGCTAAACCGTAAGCGCTTTACGCCGCTCCTCCGTCAAGTCACCTCGTAATATCGGATTGTGTAAAATTGAAAGATTGAAAAATCCTTCCTTTTCGCTAGAACGCATGCCGAGAATATCGCTCGCATGATGAACTCGATGATGAACAGGACGTACAATTGGGAATCGAACGTCTTGCAGCTGATGGAGAACTATTACATCACCTCGACTGACGTGAGGGATCTGCAAACGCCCGACGATTACTTACATCGATGTAATGTATATACAGCACGGCTATTTATCTTTGACTTCTCGCAATAAGGCACTAACAAGTGATCTGTTAAAAATATACTTTTTACTAATTATATCACTGAACGATCAAAGTAATTGTCAATTTCACGAGCTTTCCTCCCACTGGATAACGTCTATCATAACAAAGATGTAATTGTTTAAATAAAAAATTGTTTCTTGAACTATATGAACATTTTAATATATGCAATTTGTTAATCTAATTATTAATTTAACGGTTGTTAATTATATAATTTGATAAAGTTCAGTGGAATCAATAGAGAAAAGTGTTCTACAAAGAAAGCATCTAGAAGTATTTAGAACAATGATATGATAGATAACGTCTCATGTCCTAACAATTAACGTGAATGTTCTGGTTGAAGATCCATACTTCCTGAGCGCCAACGTTCGAATGGGATGTCAGCCGTCAAGAGACGTACGTTGGTGTCTGGTATCCAATCTCGAGAAGCGTAAGTGCAGCTGGCTAAGAGACGCTTCCATCATCTACGGCGTGGAGCCGTTGATCTCTTGCCTCCAAGAAAATAGCAGAGAAGCATGCGTGGAGGCTGTACGGAAGGGAAAGATGGACATCTTCTTGGCGCGGCCCGAAGAGCTGCTCGAGGACAGAATGTAAGCGAAGAGCAGGTCATCAAACGCGGCGAATAAAAGTTGAGAACATTTTCTCGGAGAACATTTCCTCAAATCGTTTCTCTCTCGCAGGATGGGTTTGAAGCCTATTATCCACGCGATGGCGAGCAGCCGGCAAGAATTGAACAGGATCGCGGCGGTTGTCAAGAGGAATTCCAGATTCAGAGTTATGAAGGATCTCAAGGGTGCCAGGGCGGCCTTCACGGGCTACAGAAGCGTCGGTGCGATTATATAAAAGATATAATTTTCGTATTTCGCAGTTTCAGTAGAATCACTTTTAATTCCATTTCGCCGTTGCGATCACTTGATCCCAGGTTGGAACGCTTTTGTCACGCTAATGAGGAACGAATCTGACGAAGACTGGGACTGCTCGGACGCGCAGGCCATTTCGAAATTCTTCCGAGATAGCTGTGTCCTCGGTTGGAACAGCAAAGATAATCACAACGACCTCCCGGCTAATTTACACTCGTTATGCAAGGAAGGTAAGACGCGGAGGACACATACAGTCGCGATTAAGTGCGCGAGCGATTAAATGAGGCTGTAATTATAAAGATACGCGATGCAAAACGTATATATGTAGTAGATCGTTTAAATTTTTACTTGCTAGGAACAACCCAGATAATGATGAACATGCATGTTGCATAAGACGTCGTAAAGATATCTTGGGAATGTGCAAAAGAAATATACAAATATAAAACGCGATACGATCGCGAGGAAAACGAGTAATTAAAACTCCGATCTTTTCGCAGATGCGGCACATGCGGGCGACGATTTAAGTGCCTTTAACTACCTGGCTTCCGATATCGTCGACGTTGCCTTCGTCAATCTGAAGATCATAGAAAACAAAACGGAAGCTGGTGAGTTGCGCCGATTGATCTAACTGTATCTTCTCTGTATCATATTAATATATCTAATTGTTCTGATGTCGCAGGTGATTTTTATTACGAGAAGATTGATAGTATAAACCGCTTGCCTAAGTACAGAGTATTAGGCCCGACCTTGGCGGAAGCTATAAAAAGAGTCCCATATTTGCTCGCTTGGACACCTCTCGGCTCGGTATAAATCTTTTCTTTTCAAAAAAGTTTAGTGATTTAGCTAATGATTAGCTTAGATGTGCAAATATGAATTGTACGTAACGTGGACTTTCTTGCCTTGGCAGATAATAGCGCACGAGAATATCACGGATCTGAGGCGTCAGGAAATCTATACGATGCTGCTCGAAATGGACAAGATATTTGGAAGGAAGTTCAACGGACAGGCACCCACATTCTTGTTATATGGGCCGTACGAAGATAATCACGGTGTTATCTTTCCCGTAAGTTGAATACAGAGCATTTTATCACAAAAACAAATTTATGTAGCTCAATCCAGGCAATCCAGCGAGATAAAGTCAAAGTGCAGACATCGTCGTAAGAAAAATCGATAGAGTTGGTCGAGATTTATTTGTTAAAGCTTGCTCTGCGTGAATATAATAGAAAGGAAGGAGAAAAATTATATTATGCTTCGGGTATTGAAAATGGAAATAAATTGGAGCGTAAGAGATATATGTCAAAAAGATATTGTGAGTTGAGCTCATCGCAGCTCTGGTTGAAGTCGACAGCAGTTATTCGGTGAATCGCGGCATTTCGCCTAATTGGAATCTTCGCACATGCAGTCCGACGGTCGTTCGAGGACATCGATCTTCTCCGAGAACTTCTCATTCCTCGTGCATCCGTAATACACGTAGCCCCTGTCGCAATACGCCCATGGAAAATGCGCGCACTTGAAGGACACTGACGGTATCCCCTCACTGGTTAACGCGATCACGCCCACGTCAGATTCCGGCGGAGATGCTCCTCCGGTTTCTTCCTCGAAGTCCCTCAATATCTCGGCGACCGCATTGTCGATCGACGTCGCCTTTCGCCGCAGCCGCCGTAAGATACGTCGGGCTGGCGCGTGTTTGTATATGGCTTTGTCGCAACCCGAGACGGATACGGAACCGCTCTTATCAACGTAAATACCGCAACCGATCGCCGTGCCGGTCGCGCTCACGATTCCGTGCAGCTTCCCCGGTTCCCCGGCCGTCGAGGTTCCGCTGGCGAGACGCTTCTTTCGGTCGAACGCCACTGCTCCGACCGCGCCGAGCTAATGTAAATTTTTTTTAAGTATTACGCACACAAATGTCCGTGCGTAATATAAGAATAATACTTTAATTACGTGAAACATCCAGAGCAAGAATATATTAGGTCCATAAAGAAAGGAAAAAGAGAAAAAGAGATCGAGAGATTCGGATTTTACACTTAAAACTCTTTTCTCTATCTTTTTATCTCTTATCCATAAATTATAGGCTTATGTCCATTTCTATGCAGATTGACTTTAATCTCGATTTAACTTACATTTTATCTGTTTTTGATTCGTAAAACTAGAAAAAGATAAAAAGTAAGTTGCCAAGATTAAGGTACATTGACAGAAATGGATATTAGACGAACAAGAATAGATAAGTTAACGTATACAATTTCACATTGGCTATACGGGTTTATATTTAAGATTTGAATTCAGGAAATCTTAGAAATTTAAAAAAAGTAAAATATTCGGTATTTATTATATTTTTGCCGGAATATTTCACGTATATTAATTCGCCATCGCGAATTCGAACTCATCCAACCTGTATAAAATCAGGTTCGACCTCCAGGAACTCGTCTAATCTGGCGACCTCGAAGATAGCGCCTTCTTCCTTGTCTCCGTATCTTTCGATCACACACTCCGGTATGCATTCCTTTTTAACAGATGGTTTGTCCCCGTCTTGTAGAAGCTCTTGCGTCTTTCCTGTATCTTGCGCTTCTTCATCAGTATTGCGATTAAAATCTTAAAAAAAAAGCTCGTTTTTCCCCGTTGTCTATCCTTTACCGTTAATCTCTTCTTCGTGCAACGACGTCTTCGAGTCGGACGTAACGATTAACTGGCCGGGTGACAAAGTGGGAACACCTGACTCCAAGGCGAATTTTTGCGCTCCAGCTTCGACTATCAGCACAAGTCCCGCTTGCTGCAGGACTATTTTGGCTGCAAGAGTATCAAGCGCTTTTGAGCGGGTCGTTAGACAGATAAATGTATAATTTCTGCAACAGAAGCGTTTTACTGAAAAAGGCATGGACCTAACGTTATGGGATGCGCTATATTGCGAACGGCACCCACGCAACCCGCGCGAAGACCATTCGTCATTATCGCAGCGTCCATCACAACCTCCCCGTTGGCGTCCAAGGAACCTCCGTATCCGCAATTAAAATACTTCTTACTCTCCATGTGACAGATCGCACGCTCGACCGCGTCCAGCGAGCAGCGTCCTTTAATTAGGTCGCGATACGCCGCTACTGCGGCATTTTTCACCTGCATCCATTCATTAAACATCAATCTCATCATGAAATAATGATATTTTATCGTTACCTGGTAGAAAAATGTCTCAGAATTTTTCATACATATTATTAATAAAAAATTTAAGATTTTTAAAAATTCTTTATACAAATTGGAATGTTTTTCAGAAAAACACAATCAGACAAAATAATAATAAAGTATTTCAGATTTTTCCCCGCCAATATATCTTTGTAGAAATCTGATGAATAAACATGAGAAAACTTTTTCTGACTTTCCTGAATGATGTAATTTCAAAGTATTCAAAAACTCAAATAATACTAGAGCAATGAACTGTTTTAGGCAGCTACATTTCTCGCATTCTGTAAAATGGCTTTTCCGAATTGTTTAATATGAATAAAAAACAATTTAACCTCGTCGAGCATAAATTTCCGTGCATATCGAGGAATTCTCCCGGCACCTCCGTGAACAACGACAACCGGATCCACCCGCTTTTTCTTCTTTTTCCTGATCCGCGTCTCGGCGCTGATTCTGGCCAAAATCTCACTAATCCAAGCGCAATAGTCGCACATTACATTAGTAACAATTTTAGCATTTTCAGGATTTTCGTTGCCTCTTAACATTTTTCTTCGCAAAAATGTCCTCAAGCGTCTATTGAACGACAGCCCGCAAGTACCGGCGAATTTTGCTTTAATTGAGATTGCACAAAAGTGTACTTTTTTTACGCATATATCATTTGCGTGTAAAAAACCGCGACGATGTTATTTTATTTTAGACAGGAAGTTATGCAATATTAATGTATAGTAAGCGTTGTGTAGACACGATTGCGTTTGAATACGATAATAAATGTGAATTTTGTTATCGCAGGATGGCACACGCTATTTAGAGCTACACGGTCAACAGATATTAAAGGGACGCAATTACGACCAAATCGTGGAAGAGTTCGTGAAGCAAGAATCTTGCAGTGCTGCTGATGCATGGATTTCTCGTTTTCCAAAATCTCTTCTTCTATGCATGATTATAGTCTTCATTCTAGACCGATTATTGAACTGCTGACGATGGATGGATAGACTATGCTCTCTATGAAAGTACAATGTAATACAAGACAGTTCGTTATTGGTGATGCAATAATTTTGTATAAAAGAATAAGTTTTTTTTCTTTTAGACAGAGTTTCTTACTTTCGATAAAAACAAATTTGGATATTGCAAAATTAACAACAATCAAGTTATATAATTTTCAATTATACATATCAAAGGATACTTCAATAATGATTATGATATATAAATATAAAAATTCTTATAAGAAAAGCATATTTGACAATTTTGATATATGCTTTAAATATTTGTCTAAGTTATTATTAATAATAACTTACGCAAATAATTTTTAAAATATTTGTAAAATATATTCACATGTATTGTATGTTATTTTATTTTTGTATACATATACATATATAATATAATACGTAATGCACGATGTTATACATATATATGCATACATTATACAAATATATGTGTATATATATATGTACATGTAATATACATACATATATGTACATATTATTTATATATTACATATATATTATTTATATATGTACCTCTTTCAACACTTCAATAATTTTGTTAGATTTCTTTGAATAGGATATCTAATTTCTTTTATTTGTATAATTGTTCATATATTGTGAGTGATTATGTAGAGATAATTTTAAAATTATCTAAGCTCGATGACGGGAAACATAAACAATTGTTTAATAATAGATCTCAAAAACAAAATTATTATTGAAGTTGTTGAACAATTACGAACGAGTATTGGAGTAGAATAATGTCGAACAATAAATTATTGAACAAAAAAGCTTTTTTATGAAAACTTTTTTCTACATTTATTTTTAAGATAAAATTATATCATCTCAGTTGTATCATCAATAATGACCTACATCAAAAAGCGCGATATCAAATCGGCTAGGCTATGTATAAAATTCTATGTATATTTCGATTGTATAATCTTATCATTTGTCCTTATTTATATGATGTTTTATACGATACACTATGTAAATGTATGTACGAGACTCGTATAAATAATATTACGAATACTATTTTCATCTACATCTAATGGTACTTATTTTCCCTGGACGGAATACTGTGATACGTATATTATATTATAGAAAGATACGAATAAGTGCGAAAAAATCTCATTCGTTATACATACGGCGCGCTTGTAAAATATATAAAACCATAACAGTTTAATCGCACTTCATTGCACATTGGAAACATTCAATGTTATTCAAAGTTATCAAAGATGACTAATCACTACACGTTGCTTTGCAAATCTTATAAATTACAAATTCAGAATCACGTGAAATAATTGAAATTGTATAAACCTTGTCAATTGAAAATTTTAAATTGTGTTTAAGTATTACTTTCTATATGACTGGTATCTCACTTATCTATTGCAATAATTGCAAGTGCACGTATACATTGGAAGTATAAAACCTGTGAATCTTTCTATATTCAATTCATTGATATAGCAATTCTAGAGAAACTATTAGTGCTTATATAATTCCCTCCTTGTTCATGCCATATCTATTTTCGTTTATGATACCGAAACGTATCGCGAAAATACATTCAGTTCTTGTAAAAATTCCTCTTTCTTTGAATAGTAGAAACCTTTTTTCAGTTTGTGTACTTCCACATTACCAGATTCCATACCAAGAGCCTAAAAAATATATTTAAAAATGTATAAATGTATAAAAATCTCCATCGAGAGTCCTGAGAGATCATGTTTAGCTTTTTAAACTTACCAGGTATTGATTTGTCATATCTTGATCTATTATGCAAGGAGACAGCTGCATGCTGCTTATCTTTCCCCATTTTTGCATAGATGATGTATATATAGGAGAAATATCACTCTGACTCAAATCCCACACGTGAATTCTGTCAAATTTATAATTTATATTACATATGGATATTTTTTGTAATTACATCTATTCATTTGCAATTTTATTCATTCCGTGAGAAGTTCTTACCGAGAATCATTATCCAGAGCATATATAGTCAACGGTTTCGTTTTCGACCATTGCAAAGCTTTAATCTCGTCCGTGTACTGTTCACTTTTCAGTTGTACGATCGGTCTCTCCACATTTAAGTAATGAAGTCGAATCGTTCCATCGTCGCAGCCGACCTAGTAAACATAAAAATCGATAGGAATAAAATAAGATTTTGAAGGTAAGCTGCGAAGAGACAGTCTTACCCAGAAAAAGGATTGACCAAAAGGACAAACATCGATGCAGGTTGAATTGCCGCATTCACCTGTAATAATTAATTGAAATAAGTCTGACGTCACCATGATCCACGTTTAATGCATACATCGAGATGATAAGACTATTTCCACTCACTTATCTCGGTTGGTTTATATGTTAATGGGTTAGTTCTGTTACCGATATAAGTAGCATGCAAGACATCAGTACTGTTAGTCGCGATATAAATGTTATTTGTATTTGCGCTGTCCACATGCATATCGACAAATGTGTTCATTCTAAAAGAACATCGAACAGTTAAGGGAATTTCAGCCATATATATCCTTTCAAAAAAATTAATCTCAAATCTATTATAAGTATTTACATTTCTGCGTCTTTCCTCGTCAGAAACGTTTTCTGATTCTTTATGAGTCTTATGTCGCCCCAATGAGAGAGTCCCAGATCGTCGATATTTATACCCATGTTATGCACAATACTCCATATTATGAGACAACCATCCTCGTCTAAACTACATATCTATCAAATTCAGTTTAAAGATAATAAGCATGGATTAGTAGGATTACTAAATTTTAACAGACCAATGTCAATATCGTAATAGTGGCAACCTGGATGGGGACGAACTTGTTGCTCCCTTCTTTAACAGAGGCAGTCTCGATCTTAGACTGCACGCGTATCGCAACAACTTGCGACGTGTGCGCATCTAGCTCCGCTGTTGTCGTGTAAGTAGGCGTTCTGATCACCCAATCTAACTCGTTAGCCTTATCCGTAATCTTCTGATGCCACATCTCGTCCTCCTTAAGGTCCCAGAGACTCAGCGACCTAGGTTCAATATTTTATTTTTAGACTAGTACAAGAACAGCGAGAGAGAAAGCTTTGAAAACTCAAGTCACATACCCATCCTCGAGTCCGGCGAACACCGTGTTGCAATTCGTTAAGTGAAAGCAACAAGCGGTAATGGGGCATTGCGAGTAAAATAATTTCTTTGGCATCGAAGGTTCGGAAATATTCCACACGCATCCGATACAACAGTCGGTGACATAATCTTGTTTGCTTATGGTTTCTAACTCCTGTTTAATACAAGAAATTAATTAATTACAATTCACTTCGAACCACATTAAATAGTATAACAGCTACGTACCTCTTCCACTGGAGCGTGTATAGTAAGCAGAACTTTATTTAAGACATTCGAATAATGTATAATCTTAACTGGTCTGGAAGCTAAGAACGTTACTGTATCTACAGAGAGCTTCACGAAACCATCGCTGAACGATAATTCGTCTACGTCGTTTTGAAAAACGGTGCCACCGTGTTCTCTTTCTTCCAGCAACGACAATACAACCGCGCCCGCGCGATTAAGAAAATCGTTTAACCGCAATACGTCGTACGACGGACGTGACGAAAAGTTTATATCGTCCGTTTCGTCCAAATCATTTCCCACGCCAATTTGTTCCTGCGAATTTTTAGAAAGTTCAGAATTATATTTATCTTTAATTCTATTCTACAGTCAACGGCGTAAACTATTACCATTTTAAATAAGTTTATATCTTGCTTGTCACGCAAGTTTTTTCTACAAGTTATGGGAAACTGTGTCCATTTGTTCTTACAAGGCACCTCGTCCGTTTGTATCTCAATGTCCATGTTGTCGTCGCCGGTTTGGGTAAACACCTGTAAAATGTGGTGTACAATAAACAATTGATCACTCTACAATTTGCCGTGTAGTGTGTTACGTACTTGTTGCGTATTTAATTTCCCGTAATTTCTTATAAATTCATCATAAGGTATGGGGCTGCACTCCAATATCGACCATTCCATAAAGTCCAGCTTTATCATTTCCAACAATTCTTCACCTCTGGTACGAGGCTTCTGCGAAAGACAAGACAACACGTTTTGGGTTTAAATATATAACAGTATACTTAATATTATAATGCATTCTTTAAAAAATGGATTACCTCTTCACGTTGATTCTCTTTTGGTTTATGAAGATTGACAAACGGTACTTGCGACAGCGGCGGAGATCTGGTAAAGTCCCCAGAACGGCTGTCCTCGAAACCTTCATCAGTGGACGATGGCAGAGATTTATTCTCCGCCGGTCTGTCATCGCTGCGCCAAATAAATGTGAACACTTTAAATTATCCACGTATTTTATTTTATTGTTTTTAAAACAAAGCGTTTTAGAGAAAAGCATGCAAAGTAAAAGCGTAACAATCACACGTGACAAGAAACAAGTACAAGTAACAATAAATCTGCAAATGAATATCTCTCCATTTATTCGTCCTGATATTTGATCTTAGTTATCACAAACCTAAACGTTTTGCCAACTGGCTCTCTTAATTCGGGTAACGGTGGTGTGTTGGATTGCGTTAAGAGCGCAGATTCTACTCGCGCTGCCCGTTTTCTCGCTTCTGCGAGATCGTAATGTCCCGAATCGAGCATACGTTCCTCTTCGACTTTCGCGTGTTCCGCGCTCCTCTGCAAGAATTGTTTTCATAAAACTGTGCGTCTCAACACGCGTGGAATAAGCATAGAATAATACCTTCTCTCGGATTTTCAATTCGATAGGTTCTAAATGGGAATTATTTCCACTGCTGTCTGATTTTTCGCTGATCGAGGGAGTATCGCTGTCGGTGCACTCTTGAAAGTCTGACTCGTAATCCTGAAAGACAACACAAGGTATTATAATCACACACACATATACATGTCCCTTTATTTAAAGTTTCTTTTCTTTCATTTCTTTCTCACCTCAAAATCGTCTTCGTAATCATAGTCCGCCTCATTCGAGTCCGCTTGCGTATGAGAACGACTGTCCGACGTTTTCTTCTGCTCTACTTTTTCCACGACATTCGGTCTCCTTACGGCGCTGTGCAGCATCCTTACTTCGCTTGGACTCAGCGTTCTGGATTTCCTGCGTTCTCTGGACGACATTCGTGGCTTAGTTCGGTCGGGTGCGGGAGAATCTTGCGATTTCTCCTTATCCCTCGACGACCGATGTACAGTCTTCTCGTTAGATTTAACATTGAGCTTGCTCGCAGTCGATCTTGGCACGTATATCGTACTCTGACCTCTCTTCTCTGAATATCCCGCTTGCTGCTCTCTGGACTTTCTCTTTTTGACCGTACTGTCGTCGCTCGATTTAAGAACATTTTCGGATCTCGTCTTAGAGGTTGTACTCTTCTGCGTTACCAAATGACTGGACGAAGTATTGCGCGGACTAGATTTCGACGTCGAGGATACTTGCTTGACAGTCCTAACTTGAGAAGAACTGACGGACGGCTTGCTAGTACTTCTAGTCGATTGTGTCCTCGTTGAAGTATTCTGCGATGATTTGGACACTCTGTCTCCGTCTCCTCTGTGCTCGGTTTGAGACTTCCTCAGTAAATTAGAATCTGATTTCTTCGATGTTTCTGCATTGCCTTCGTTGCTGGACGACGTTTTCGGTTTCGACCGCACTCGCGTTTTGACTTCGTCTTTAGGTACAATTTTTTTAGTTGCGCCCTAAGAAGAAATAAATGATTATATTAATGTAATATAAAATGTATACATACTTAACAAAGTTCAAGTTAAGATAAATTATAATACTCTAACACGCTCCGTCAGAATATAGTTTCGCGATTAATTACTACAATAATTTGCGCTCACAATAAACATTTAATATATTTAACTAAAATAAATTGAAATAAATATTAAATAATAAAATGAATAAAATTGATTAACGCAATGTTTTAAAAACAATTTTTATTTCGGTCATTGTTATATGTATTTATATTACTTCCATTTTCTTAGA